TGGGGGCTGTGACCCCCAAACTGGGAGAGTGGCTCTGACAGATCCCAGGAACAACATCTGAGATCTCTGTCCAGAAGAGTGCAGTCCTAGGAACAGCTAAGATACTGCGCAGGACCCTCAAGCTCCCAGGCCTCTGGTAGAGGACCCGAGCTTGAAGGACAGAATAAGACTGCCCCAAAGTGGGGTGAGTGGGGAATTTCTTTTTTTTTTTAGGGGAACGTGAGAATATGTTCAATCCCCTTTTCCTGACTGAGTCATGCCCACATCAAACCAATGAGAAGAAGACATACTGAAAGCTTACTAATCAAAACTGTTACAACTTTAGCAGAAAGGTGTGTTCACATATGCTCCCATTAGCCAAATAAGTTGTTAGGGCCTTTAAAAGTGTTGCCATTTCAGAAATGAGACTATTTAATTTTTTTATCAAGAGGCAGGTCGTAGAGAAATAAAAAAAAAACCCAACCTTTATAGTTAATATTAACAACAAGCAATCGAGCCAAATGTAAAGCCCTAAAATGGTTAAATATGGTGTGGTTATGCATTGCTCAACAACAGATCTGCAAGTCGATATACTTAAGAGATAAGTGATTATTGTATTGTAACCTTGAAAAAGTCTTACGGTTCAGTCTTTGAGTCCAGTCTCTTGAAACCACAATCCATCACCAGAATCTGTTCACTGGCTGCTACACTTGACATTATAAGTGGCTTTCAATCATATTTAGAAAGATTCATGGGGACTGAATGCCCAAAACTATGGACATATCATACTCAGCTTGAAGTGGTAGACAAGGTAGTTAATAACATAAATTATAATAGCAATAATGGCACACAGCTAATAATAGTTCCTGGTAGCTGTAGCTGGGTGAAAAGGCAGTGACAGCTATTCTCTGGAGCTACATACTGAGTGTGTGCAGTAATAACAGCAGTGCCAGGGGTTCATTGTTCTCAGATGGATACTCACAGCATTAGCAGATGGAGGAGGAGGTAGTGGCAGCCAGCAGCCAGCAGGGGGCTCATGCTTAGTGTTATTGTAAAGATTAAAGTTCAAAGTGCTGCTGCGCCCCTGGCCGTGACCCCCGCCCTGACAGAGCATGCCCAGCGTGAGCGTGTTGTGCTTTAGGACACCACTCTGATTGGAGAAGACAACATCACATGATATGGGTGAATGGGGGAGGGGGGTGCAACACAACAGACTGCAGCGTGGCGACAACACACTGTGGGCGCCACAAACAAAGAAACAAACAACAATAACACTGAAACAACAACAGTGCAGATTTGCTGAAAGCACAGAGGAATGTTAGCTAGTGATCAAACAATATAGACAAAACATTGTGTCATACAAGCAACAACTAGTGGCTCAGTTCATTCCAGCATTAGAGTGTAAGCTTTCAAATGAATTGTCTACCAAAATGTGGATATTTAAACAAATAATAAGCCCAATCCCTAACTGAAACCCAGCAGCTACAAGGTTTTATTATGGCATGTTTTATGTATGAAGAGATTATGTGTTTCAGTACTTCATTCTAACACCATCCCCACAGCATCTGTCCAGATGTCAACAACAACTTTTGTTGATTTTGTTTTGACAAGGTGGATGTCTTTTACACCATTTACCCGGCTGGTGCTGCAGAACTCCTCCCTACTGTGCCTGATTGTCTGTCTGTTGGGGCACTGGTTCTGATTACAAAATTATCTTGACATTTTGGAAAATGTGTTTGTCACTTCCTTGCTAAGAATTATCTGAGACGACTAATCACATTTTCATGTCTGTGGTAAATATGAAGCTGATAAAACAGACGTTTTATTCTTAGGCTCAAATGCTTAGAGAAAGAAATGGGTCATTAACCGACTGACCCTGAGCCAACAAACCAAAAACCTTGGTGTTATTTCTGATTCCAAACTAAATTTTGAGGCTCATGGCAGATTTATCACCAAATCTGCATGCCAAATATGTCACTAAAATGCATCCATTCCTCTCTCTGAGTGACACAGAGGAATTTTTTAAAACAGGGGAAAATATCAAACACCAAAACGCCAAGTTTGTTTGTAACAAGCTACATTAGATTCTGACTTTTTACTCGTTTGATCAGTTTCCTTGTCACAGTGCAGATTTTGCTGCATTGTATTTCAGTACATGGTTTTTTTGGTAGCGAGTGTGCAGCAGGTCAGGCTGACAGAGAGAAGTACACACACATGCAGCCAGACAAATCTGGTCAACCTTACAACACAGAGTTACACAGAAACAGACAGGGAGGGCTTCCGAATGCAGTATATGCATGTGAGTGTGTGTGCAACTCCCTCTTTGGTGTGCGCGCGCTGCATTCACGTACCCTGTCCAATCGTTTGGCCTCTATGTGCCTAAGTAGCTGTTGCCTCCAGTCAGCAGGCATCTTGGAGGTGATGTCTTCAGGTTTCTGTGGTACAACAGGTCTTACTTTGATGGTGTCGTCAGGTGATTTCTCAGGGCAGGTTGCCAGGGTGTAGTCAGGGGGCATCTTCTCCAGCAGGGCAGCCATGGTGGGACGAGCTGACACTGGGCGGGCCTGAGGACAAACAGTTAAGATTTTATAAGCACAATGAAAAATTTACCTGGACATGATAGTGATACAACAATTGAATTTAAATCTGCATTGATCAATATTTCTATATTAATAGAAAATAATATGACAAACAACCTACAGAGAACTAGTAACAATTTTCTTTGGCACATCAGAGTACTTCTCTGTATTTCAGTGGACTGTTCTGGTTTTAAGGCCTGCACCCCCAGTGTCTGGGTTCACCACTCTCATCAGCCTCATTTCCAGCTGCAGCATGATGTTGTTTTCAATAAAAAACTTTCTAATAAACACCACTCAAGTCAGCTGGCAAACATGGTGAGACATTTTTAAGCTAAGGAGCCAGATATAGTTGACAACAAAAATGAAAAAAAGAGCTTAAATGTTTCTTCCAAGTAAAAATTGGACTTACACTTATCAGGTGGCCATAACTTTAAATCAGTGCTAATGTTGCTCCATGTGTAACAGATATGTTAAGGAGCAGCTCAGTGCTAATATGTTGTAATGACTTAATAATAAACATTATCAGATGTTGTATTTACAATTTGTTCCACTGCCCCATAGTTGCCAAAACTGGTTAATTCTGGTTTAAATAAACAATGCATTTTGCATTCTTTAAGTTTAGGGATAATTTCCCTTTTGGTGTAAGCTTATTTTAGCATATTAGCATGCCAAGGTTTGCTAAGTGGCACAAAAGCCAAAGTGTTGCTGAGGCTGTCAGTGGTTTGGCAGTATTTGGTCACTGTAACTGACACAGTTCACCATTTTCAGTTCATCCTGAAGGCAGAATGAATGAAGGCAACTTGGCCTTATGCTTTGGTCAAAAGTGCTCAGCATCAGTTCACTAGTTTCCTTCATTAGTTTCCTGTGCCCTGCTCCTTCATCTTGAAAGGAGTCAGAAGTGTTTTGTGCATCTTATCGGTAAGCTGCTATTCACCTCCCTATTACTATTTTGGGAACATCTGAGTGGGGCAAACCCATAACAGCCGGAAAGAATTATTTATCGACTTGGGATTGCCTTGAGATCTCAGATATGGCTGAAGCAAAGGGCACCTGCACTATTCTGCTTAGTCTGCTGTTACAAAGGTTCCAGGTAATTCATAAAAAATGGATGGCTAAAAAAACTTCTACTCAGTCGTTTTATATACTATAATGTTAAGTCCTCATTCTATGACGAATTTCTCAGTGTCATCCAAAATTATCCAAGCATGCAAAATTTTAGGCAACTAAATCTACTTGAGTTAGGTTAGGAAAAGATGGCTGATATCTTGTGATGGATGCTCTTGTCTTAAATTGTGTGAATAAAAAAGAGCATATCCAAAATAATAATGTACTGTGTTTTAATAGGAGCGGTGTGATCGAACAACAACTACAGATGAATAAAAGAGTTGGATTTTTTTTAACCTGCAGGGGTCACTGATGAATCTACTGATTATTTTCTTGATTATTTGATATGGTGGGAAATGCCAGTTCTGACTTTACAGAGTTAAAGGTGGTGTCTTCAAATGCCTAACAAATGTCCAACAAATCCAAAGATATTATCATGTCTGACAAAGAAACACATCAGTTCCTCAAATTAAAGAAGGTGAAACCAGAAAATGTTAGTGATCTTTGCTTCAAAATAGTTGGAAGTTAATTTTCTTTTAACTTTCCAGGCATAAATGTTAAACAGGGGCCTGTTTCAGCTTCTGTAGTGTGAGGACTTGCTGCACTGCTCTGTTTGATCAGTGTAAAGTGGATACATTTAGATCTTAGGCTGTTGGTCAGACAAAATGAGACATTTGAGGACAACACCTTCAGAAAACAGTGATGGAAATGTTTCCTTATTTTCTGACATTCAGAGACAAGATAGCTAATGATTACCTGAGGTAGCATTAGGCAAAGTAATAGGCCTAAGTGAAACAGTAACATGACTCTCACACATTAATAATATATTTTATAACAGAAAGTTATAAAGTTAGTGAGTTAATATGTAAAAGTAGAGACATAAATGCAACAACACAGCGCTTACACAGCTTACAGCAGCAGCTATGTCTCTTGACAGCTGGTCTACCTGAGATACTCCATAGGTCTCAGTACTATAGCTCCTGGCAGACAGGGGGCGGCGCTGAGTCAGGCTCTTGGTCGGATACCCAATCATGGGCTTCTTCTGCTCCTGGTAGGTGGGATAGTCATCATCATAACGACCATTTCTCTTGCTGTGTAACATCTGGCTTTGGCTGTCAGACATGTTGGTGAGAGCAGAGTGCTCCATGGGGGTGGAGTAGGCAAGAGCCCGACCATAAAGAGGGGGCTCCGCCTGAGGAGAAGGGAGAATTCATCAGACCAGGGTTAGGGTTAAAAAAAGTCCACCCTAAAACAAATTCATGTTATCCCTGTGCATTCAGTTAATACAGTGACATATATAGGGGTGAATTTAAAAACTGGTGCATAAGGCTGTTAGTATCATATGACCTATGAAATAAAGGTCCTGGACTTTGGTCTGTTAAAAATGAAATCTTTCAGTAAATGATACGTACTGCGCTATTTATTTTAGAGTCACATATTTGCCATATTTTAACAGTGAGTTATAACAGGTCGTGAGGTTGTGGTGACACCTTGAACAACAATTGTTTCCGTTTCTTTATTCGTTTTTGGCAGTACGACTAAAACGCAGATAGAGATATGAGCATAATTTGGTACACTACATACAGTATATGTATACTAGTCCCTACCTGTTGCCTGTATTGAGCTTCCTGCAGCGCCTCCTGCTGGGCTTCATGGACTCTGCGAAACAAAGCGAGCTCTGTGGAGCTCACTAATGAATCTGCCCTCCTCAAAAACCCTGGCCTGGACCGTTGTGCTGGGATCGGCTGCTGCTGCTGGCTGGGCAGACCGTCCTGGGTGACCGGAGTTTGGGGGAAAGAAAACATCTCCAGTGGTGGATATGCACGATACCGAGGACTCACCAACTCCTTAGGTAATGTCTTCCCTGTTTGGTTGATGTACTCCAATGCTTTTGATGAGTGGTTGACATAATCCGGTGTGTTTGGGAAGGGAGGGGGGACCCGACGGTCCATGGTCACCTGATTGACGAGAATAGTTACCAATGAGTGTTAGGCAGCAGTGTTGGGACTCAAACCAACTGATGTTACTTCCTAAAAAGAAATTTTTAAAGTTACTGGACAACTTTGTTATTGACTATGGCCATGCTCACATCAGCCACAACCACAGAAACAAAACAGTTTCTTGCTTCTTCACAATGAAGAGTCCAATTTTGTCCTAAAACAGGATAACGTGCACACTCACATAGAGAATGCATACATGTGGATGCACATTTCTTTTAGTTTATGTTGAATAAAAGCTACTTTTCAACATAAGTAGTCTTGATGAGTTTTTCATCTGAAAGTATACTGTTGCCCAAATTTTCACATTAGAGCATTTGATCGGGCTGCATATTGCTATCTGAACCCAACTTGTGTCTGAAAGTGTGGTGTCTGAACCCGACCTGGATCAGACAAGCTTATATTATATAACATCCGAACCCAACCAGAGCTCAAAGCAGTTGAATTTGTATTTCGTTTTTTGCCTTATCATTAAACAAAGAAGACACCTGTGTGCTCTAGCCATCTAGCCATCTAGCCTAAAGTATTGTGTTCATGTCTGAACACAACCCAGACCCCAACATATTTTCTAAATTTCTGTACAAACCAGGCCCAAACCCTCAGGTAACAACGAGTCCTGCTGGCCTCAGTTTGGGTATCCACACTCTACCCCACATTAAGAAAGTCTAGAGTTGCTAACCTGGGGATTGTAGTTCTGGTCAAAGTGGTAGGCTTTCTGTGGAATGGCAGGTTTTTGGTTGTGTGCTGGCTGGTTCTGGTTGCCAGCTCCATGTCCTGGGAAGCCCACTTCATCATCTAACATGGGCGCAGACTGCGACCTAGACATACTGGTCTGCTCCATAGAACCGGGAAGGTCTGAGCGGTCCAAACTGGTCTGCTGCTCAATGGATGAACTATAGCTGTCTATGGGAATACTGCAGAGAGAAAGGAGGGCAAGAAAGATAATTGGCTTCAGCAGCTACAACTTTACAACTCATATAACATTTGATCATCTTATTCTGAAAAACAAACAAACAAAAAAACCCCAATCATACAACTAAACCTACCTGTAGACCTTGTAGGAGCCAATGTCAATCTCGTCAATGCTCTGTGACTTTTTAAACTTGGACCTTGTCTCCTTCATCATGGGAGATAGGCGGTCCGAGCTTTTACTCATCACAACCGTCACCTTGTTGCCCCCAGTGACACTGAGCTGATCCTTCCTGTTCTGCTCCCCTGGATTATTGTGGTATGTCCAGCTGCCTGGACCTGCTCCTTGTTCCAGTCTTAGAAAAAAACACAATGTTATGATTCAAGCAAAGCAAAATAAGGAAGGGTAAAGCAGAATCCCTATAATGATGGCAGAAACAAAGGAGGGGGTCCAGCAGTTTCATAAACCAGAGTCTGTGCCAGAAATCATGTTCACGAGTTATAATTTTGCTGCAGATTATCTACACTATAGCAAGCATGAGCTGTTTTAAAACACAGCACTTAGACTACTTACAGACTGAGATTTGGATCTAGAACTGCAGCTAACAATTACTGTCATTACACATTATTCAGTTGATTATTTTTGGATTAACCTAACCTAGACCATATTACAGATTTATCTAGGACGGAAACTGAATAAATGCACATTATAAAATTGCAAAACCCAAAGTGACTTATTCAAATATCTTATTTCTGCCATGAGATTTTCCATTCACTTACCTCGAGTCCATCTCCTTGCGGTCGGGGTTGGGGCTGGAGGTTGGTGTCAGGTCCAACTTGGAGGGAAAAGCAGTTCTGTCCTCCAGCGGGCTAGGGGTCCGGGTCCAATTCTGCCATGGATTCTGTGGAGGTGCGGAGGACTGTGGGTCATTGTCTGGGGTGGAGCGTTGGTTGGTGTGGAAGGGGAGCGTCTGGGTGTCCAGTTCCAGTGGAACTCCTACGATTCGCTCTTGCCTAAGGAGCGGGCGGCGTCCATGTGCTGACTGGCTGCGGGGTTTGGAGCCCAGTGGAGGGTTTCCTTGATTCGCAGTAGATGATGGAGGGTCCAGAGGAGACTCCTCAGCATCAAAACCTGTGTTGTCATAGTGAGGAGCCTGAGACCAGTCAAAAGGCTCACTCAGTGGGCGTCGATCCCCACGCTGCTGCAGGGTTCCTGACGGAGGGGTTTCTCTCTGAGATAGTAGGGGCTTGGAGTCAATGGGCTTGGGGAATGACTGGGCCAGTCTACAAACAGACAAATATTAAACACTAATGATGCTGACAAATAATAAAAAGTGAAAAAGAAGTGCTATTTAATCAAAGCCAGTGGGAACAGCATAACTTTTTCTCATTCTAAAAAAAATTGGCCAACACCCATGTTTGTTGTAATTAATGTTTTCAAAAGCAGCCTTGAACAGAAAATATTAATACCAACCAACAAGTACACAGACAAAGGGACACATATACAAACTGAGAACCTCAGGGGATGTGAAATAACATCTATAATGTCAAAACATATCAAAAACAAACTTTTGACCAACAGGGCCTCCTAAAAACTTGGGAAGAATGAAGACAAATAAATTAGTTTAAACATTTTCAGAGACTAGGTTTTCATTGATGGGGAAAATTGAAAGGTTATTTTCTGGAGGCTGTGGTTCCAAAAAAGAAACGGAAAAAACAAATCATCAGGGTGCAATCAGCCAATCCAATCTGCCACCAGACTCCTAATTCTTAAGATTGTTTGAGGAGCAAACCTTTCTTCCATTTCTCACCTGTCTCTGTTTTCAAGGCTGTGAATTATTACAAACTAGTAACATGAAAAACAAATTTTAACAATGCTAAAAAAAATAATCTGCCAGTGACCTACAGTAGCAACAATTTCCACTTGCAGATTGTGATAAAACAGCCTGCACGCATCAGCAATGAAAATTAGATCTGGACCAATAACTAAGGCAATAATGTTGTAAATGTTGTGTGATAGTATAACTAACAGGAAAATAGGGTGATTTAGCCAGGTCTTTATTTTTAACTGTAAAATGTCAGCACATATATAAAAAATACCATAAATGCATTTTGCAAAAATAGCCTAGATGCTTGTGTAATGTAACACATTATGGTTCTGTAAGTTCAAGTACAGTGGTGTGAAAAAGTGTTTGCCCCCTTACTGATTTCTTATCTTTTTGCATGTTTGTCACACTGTAATGTTTCAGATCATCAAACAAATTTAAATATTAGTCAAAGATAACACAAGTAAACACATCATGCAGTTTTTAAATGAAGGTTTTTATTATTAAGGGAAAACAAAATCCAAAACTACAAAACCCTGTGTGAATAAGTGTTTGCCCCCTAAACCGAATAACTGGTTGGGCCACCCTTAGCAGCAACAACTGCAATCAAGCGTTTTCGATAACTTGCCATGAGTCTGCCACAGCGCTGTGGAGGAATTTTGGCCCACTCATCTTAGTACTGGTACTGAAAAATGGACTGGACAGCTGTGAAGCAGAGAAAAGAACGGAAAGAGGAGAGCATCCTAATGAAATGAGTAAGACAGAAAAATGTAGATGAAGAGAAGGGATGAAGCACCTGGTCAGAAGAGAGAGGAAGTGTGACACTGGAAGAAGAAGTGATAGATGGAGGGAGGAACAGTGATGAAATCGATCATGAAGCAAGTGTGAACGAGTACCTGTTGGTCCAGTGTGTCTGAGGAGCCTGGTCCTTGCTGGGGGGTGGCAGGCCCGGAGCGTGTTGGTGTGTGTGAGAGTGTGTGTGTGAGTGTGTGTTGGCGGGTGGGTTGGAGGAGCCTGAGGAGCCCTGTGAGGGGGAGTAGTCGGAGTAAGTGGCTGAGGAGCCGCTGTGGTTCAGACAGTGGAGCTTATCCACCTCCTCATCTATCGACTCTGGACACGGACAGACAGAGAGAGACAGACGGCGCTGTTCAGTAAAGACATCACATGCCTCTTTTACAAGTGTCAATTTGATTTGTTCTCTCAGCTCTTGTTCATCTTATTCTCAAGAGACCTTGTTTTGATAGAGATCTACAGATATGGTCACACTTTAGTGGCCAAATTAAAACACTGGCTGCCACGGTTTCTATGAGCAGCTGCATTTGAACATCTCAAAAGAACTAATTTCATATTTGAAAGGAAAAAAACCTAACAATTAATCACAGATTCTCTATAATACCTCTAATAGATTTTGTATTTCAATGTTATCTCATGTTTGATTTTTGCTACTTCTGCCCAAAGCAACTATGAGTTTCAGAAGTAGCTACTGTCAAAATATCAGATCAGCTTTAGAATATTTTATGAAACTATTACCTATCTGGAAACACCCCAGTATTGTGTTTTAGTACAGAAACAATTAGTCCAGAGACAATTTACCAACACAATTTCTGATTTATTTCATCAAGCAAAAATGTCAAACATGCAAGTTCTGATAAGTGAGGACTTTTCTGACTATTTTTAAACCTATGTAAATTTAATATCTTTTGAATCCTGGTCTTTTTTCACAAAATAAGGAATTCAGACTTCATCTTGGTGGTGTGGGAGATTTTGATTAGTTTATTTTTCCATTTAATATTTGAAACTTATGTATATTAAAAATATGCCTTTCTTGCAGATTTAGAAGGGTTTCACATTCTTTCAAACACATCAGTTTGATGACAAAGGAAAGCAGAGCTACACACTGACTTTATACTCTATCTCAAAGATTTAAAGTTACAGATCCTGGCCAGGGTCTGTTAATGCTCCACGTTCTACCCCAGTGTTGGAATGTGGGACACTTGAAAAGTGTGTCAAAGGTTAAAAAGTCAGCAAGAGCTACAACTCAGACAGTTTCTCAGAGGTTTTTTTTCAGGCAATAATGAGCATCAGTATAATATTTAGACTTAGTCATGTGAGGTGGAAAAATCATGTTACTTTCTTATTCTTGTCATCTGTCTCTTAACGTAGATTCCTGCAGTGCTCTCATTATACTGTATGCCTGTATAATATTGAGTCCAGTGCACTGTAGAAATACATGGCCTGGTATTAAAACATACATTTTACAGATTTTTAAAAATCTTTTTTAGCTAGACTAGTCCCACTGAAATGAAAAACTTCTTCTAAAAGGGAGGCCTGGACAGAAGGCAGCATCAAAACAAACACAACAGTTGCAGAAAGGCTTAAAGAAGGGAAAAAACAATCCTTTTGTAAATACCAGTACTATCAAACCAACAGGCTTGTAAGTCAAACATATTTAAATCCTGACAATACAAACAAAAGACAGCTCTTTATTCGCTGCCACAAGATCTTCATTAAGAATTTACATTCAACAACTCAGACAAGCTGTTGAGCTTTAATCATTTCACAGTGAGTTCCCTGAAGAAGGAGGAGATTACATGGGGAAGCTCTGAATTACACAGAGCAACAGTTCATCACAGAGTAGAGATTAAAAAAAAACTGGTTCATTCAGTATCATTGGGTTCATTAGTTAAACTTGCCTTTAGTTTAACTCTGATGAAACTGAGTTGTTTGCAGCAGAATAAGTCGTTACTTTTTATTTGTATAGTGCAATATCACAGTCACAAATTTGTCACAAGGGGTGGTACAGCCTGCACAGCATATTGACACCCTCTGTCAATAGACCCTCAAATCAAATAAGGGAAACTACCCCAAAAACCCTTTAAAGGGAACAGGAAGGAAGAACCTTCAGGAAGAGCAACAGAGGAGGGATTCATCTTCCAGGACAGACAGACGTGCAATAGATGTCGTGTATACAGATGAAGCCAGTATAATAGATTAAGGATAAGGAAAAAGTCACGCTAATCTTGATTTACTGAGGAGGTGCTGAAGTAATCCACTTGCCACTATGACTGTTAATGGACACTATTACAAAATGACCCATAGCAGGTCACAATAGACCATAGTAAATTAATGTGTGCACTTTATGTGTGCAGCCATGTGTTTACTGTACATGTACAGTATGTGCATGAGCTCTATTCACCCCCGTGTAGCTGTACTGTACATGTACAGCTTAGTACAGTACCTTTTTTGTCCTTGCCCAGCAGCACCACCTTTGGTTTGTACATTGCTGGCTCCACCAGGGTGGGCCTCATGTCAGAGATACGAATGTCATTGGGGGAGCCACCCATCGAGTCCTGTGGAAAGGCAAACTCACAAATTTACTTCAGGTACAATACAGAACAACAGTTTTGGAAAGCCAAGTCAGCCAAAATGTTTCCAGGTATATTCTCTTTTCTCATGTTCATTAGCTCTGAAGGGAAATCTTTAATATTTGCCACTGTGCTTTTCCTGTCAGCCAAAACTGCTGAAGTGGAAAGCTGACAAGAATTACGTTTCTCAAATCACCTGACACATAATTAAAGCTACAGTATGTATTTTTTTTTTACAAATGCTTTTGTTGTAGAAATCTGCTCCAAACTTGTCTTAATGTGGAGAGGAGCTGTCGAAGGCTGTGACCCAGACTCATTGATCAACACTGGTGGCAGTGCAGAGATATTAGCTTCTAAAAGGTTGTGAGCAGGATTGACCTTCAATTATTTCTGCTTGATCAGAAAGTTTTTTTGCATTCTCATTTCCTGAAATTTCATAATGACAAATATCTGAAGAGCTGGACAGAGCGTGGCGGAGAGCAGCATATCTTAGTAGAGCATAGTGGAGCAGAGGGAGTAAGCGCTGGGTAGAGCAGAGTGGAATGATTTCAAGTTACGTGTTAGTGCTACCTTAAATTATAAAGTATATTATCCCTGTAAAGCCCAACATATCAGAAAATAGCCAAAACATTCTAATTTTTTGGAACTGAGATGTTTATTAAACCTTTTAACAAAATCCAAAATAAAATTCATGATTCAAAATTCAAGATTCACGATTTTTATTTGCCATATATGCATAAACAAACAGTCCAGGCATATAGGAATAGAGCTGCTATATTATTTAGATTAGTTCTATTTTTTTTGTATCACATTTGATATGTGGGGCATTTTTGGTGATTTTTTTTGCTCAGAAACCTCACGTATCAAATATGATACAAATGGTTTTACAGGGTTAAAACTTTAAACTAAGCAAATAAACTGGCAGTAATTAGTAGTAACAGTATATATTTAGAAGCGGAATATGGTAGATTTAATACAATATATACTTAATAAGATGTTAAGTATCCAACTTCTTCACAAACTTTGTCAGTCCATTTACACCTTTTTAGACATGGATCATTAAATTGTTATGCGTAGGTATAATGTAGATTTTACTAGAGTCAAATTCCTCACAAAATCAACATGAATTTTATTGTACAATGTCAAGAAAGCCATGTAGCTGCATCACAACAAGCTTATCTTGTGTGTTTTTGAAGCATGTGTGTGTGTGTGTACAGTACACTATGTGACAAACCTCGGAGCTTTCTGTCAGATCCTCTTTGTCCTTCCTTTTGGGAATGTCAATGCCAGAGTTATGCATTGGTCCCTGATCCATTAGCTGAGTTTGAGAGAAGTCCTGCATCTCTCTGTCTGTCACCTAGCAAATGTACACAAAAAGTCCACTTCCAGTCATGTATGGGTATTTGCACATGTAGCATATGTACAAGGTATCTGATGGTCTTAACATTTGCTAGAAGGAGGGTAATACATCCATCTTAATATGGAAATGAGTCCAAGATGTCATTTCTAAACTTGCAGCAGATAAGTCATTTCTCTTGGAAAACAGTGGTTAAATGCTGCACATTGATGCATGTTTGTGGATCTGTGCATGTACCTGTGTGTGTATTTGTGTTTCCTACCTCTTTTGGAGGCAGGGGCCACGGTGGTTCATACGGTTCTTTGCTCAGGTGTGTGTGTTCCATGTTGGTTCCTGCCGAGGTAACAGTGCCTGTGCTCAGCTGGTGCTGGTGCCCATGTCCGGTGTGCACACTTTTACCCACAAGGCTTTGCACTGATTTGACCATGTTCTTGAGGTCCTCAGGGTAGGGGGTTGGGTAGCGTTTTAGATTTATTTCCACCTACAGATGGAGATGGAAATGGGTTAAACAGGGGGCACACACTGGGTAAGCATCAAGCAAACCATTATAAACTGTTAGACCTTTTCTTTCAATAAACTGATCATGACTTTGACATTATTTCACTGTCTGGTTGTTTTTGTTAATGCTTTTGGTAGTTTTTTCACTGTGTATGTGCGAATAAGCACTCCAATAACCCACTAAATCATCAGATGAAAAGAACTATTAATATTGAAGAGCTGCACGCTCTGGAATTATAATTCAAAACTGTTAATTCACTTTTGAAGGTTTACTTGAAAGAATAATCTCCAGGTTATTCAATACAACAATAATGAAAATTCCCCACTTCAACAAATACTAAATTATTATTAGGTCAATTATTAATTTTTTAAACTTTTTAATCACCTCTGTACATCAAATGCTCTAAATACTGGAGCACTCAATAGCTGTTGTCAGAGGGGTGCGAATCTAAGCTGTCTAAGCATATTCAGGACACTCCACTGGGGATAAAGATGCACTGAGGTCACCCAGTGTATCCAAAACATATTCAGAAAATGGTTTGATTCAAGTTTATGAATGAATACGATAACTTCTAAAAGCCATGAACCTTTAAATTTATAAACAGTCTTGTACTTTAGACTTTTTTAACATAACTGCTCACTGAACTAATAGCTGAACCTGGAAATCTTTGTTGATCTAAGCACTCCAACAGCCACTCAGTTAATGCTGTCTTTGCAAAACGTCCTATAGAGCTGACCTTGACCTTCCCAGAGTTGTCCTCCTCTTCTTTCTTGTCCTCAAAGTCAAAGGCCACAGTCATCCTCTGCTGCCTCTGTTCCTCCCACAGAGTAGGATTAAAGCTGTCACTGTCTGACTGGTAATCTGTAAATACACGCAAAATACACAAACACACATAAAGGCAAAGGTTAAAAAGTCATTATACATCTGTAGATTGTCACACAAAATTAACATGCACAGTTACAGAGACACACATAACATTTTATCTATATATAATATAATGTAAAACTGCTAATATATTAATTGTAAAAAAAGTAAAATAAAAAACATTCACAGATTTTTTCAAATTTTTTTCAACATGTGTAAACATTACGAGACACACACACACACACACACACACACACACAGTTTGTACCCTCATCGTGTCGTGGCTGCTGAGGAAACATGTAGTTGGTCAAAACCTTCTGTTTGGTCTCTGGGTGGGCCTCTGTCTGCAGTGGAATCAGAGCCTTGGACTGCAAACAGAGACAGGATTAGTTGAATTACAAAGAAATAGAAATAAAAAGGCACAACTCTCTGTATACCTGAATATGTGACAAGTGTGTTAGAGAAAAGAACAACTTCAATGAAAATTGAAAAACACCCAAAGACTGTTTTGCTTGCTGCTGTAATATTTATTTGTTGTAGTGTATATACAGTATATATACTGTATATACACCGAAGGTGACCCAGTTATGGACCACAGAAATGGAAAAACCTCCACTTCAGGTGCTTTAGTCACTGATATTACTTCTCTGGATAAATGGAGAACACATCTATATTGTAAATAAACAAAAATGAATATTAATAAGTCCTCCAACCCTTCCCTCTCATATGACCCATTGGCACATCTCCTTCTTTGTTAGATTTAGATTCAAACACTAGTACAAAAACACACATCACACAATGGAATTGAGCCATGCTAGTCTGAGGGAAACTCCACCCACCCCAACCAAGCCACTTCGTCACCTATCTTCATCATCATAATACTACACTCACTAGAGGTCACCAAACTATAATACATCACTGTTGGTCATAATAACCTCCTGGCATAGCGTCATTTTTTACAGGAGTACAGCCTCAAAATAACAGCTGATTAATGGGAGCAGATTAGAAAAATTAAATATACCCATAAAATAGGCCCAGTAATCTGATGAATATATTGCTGCTTTGTTTTTACTGCTATTTGCTAACAGGTACTGTCTGTGGGGGAGAGTGTAAGAGGAGAGAGAGATACCTGATTGTCAGAAAGCCACAGAGCTGCCAGGTCCTTCAGCTTAGTAAAGGTAAATGGTAGATTCTTTAACCTGAAAGAGAGACATGGGGGGTGAGAAAGAAAAAAAAAAGAGATGTTTCTGCTGCCCACGCACTGTACAGCCTGCAGATCACGTAACCATGGCAACACACTCATCCATTCCCACAGTGACTGCAGGCCGTGAAAGCAGCAACAAAACCAAAGTGGCCATTGAAAAGGTGTTGTCTGCAAGTATGTGTTAATACCTGTTGTCGCTAAGGTTAAGCACTCGTAGTTTGATCATCTGTCCGATCTCATCGGGAAGAAACTCCAGTTTGTTGGACCGCAATGACATCACTGTCACATTCTTACAGTTACCGATCTGAAAAAAACACACACACTCAATCCATCAGCTTAAAGCTACTTTATCTAATTTCTTTTCAGCCACTAAAGGGTCTAGTAGTGAGACTCAAAACACACTTACACTATTAGCTGCTCCTAACTGCTCCTTGCCCGTCCCATACCACTACCATTGCCTGGTTGCGGCAAACTGTAGACATCACTTCTTGTGCAATCATTTTCACTTGATTTATCACACAATATGTGTGTAAAATCTTTGATAATGCACATTTAACAAATATTCTACACTATTATTCAATTAGCAAAATTGTTGCTAGTTCTTTTTTTCTCAATCAACTATACTGTGCATGCAATTTAGAATAAGCTAAAGCAAGACAAAAAGAAACATGAACATAAGAAAATAACATCCAGGCCAGTGCTGCAGTGCAGGTTGATGCCCCTACCTCCCGGGGCAGCTCTGTGAGGAAGTTCTCATCAGCAGCGAAAGTCCTCAGGCTGTGCAGGTAGCCAATGGTGGGCGGCAACAACTCCAGCTCATTACAACTACAGTCCAACTCCTCCAACAAAGACAGACTGGGTGGTAGGAACAGAGGCAGAAAGGAATACAGAGAAAACAAGAAAAAGTAAATCGTTCTTCAGGCTGCAAAATCTCTGCTGATTTGAGATTACTTAAGACTTTTTTGGTTTTAAAGCATAAGGCTGGTGCTTCTATCTTTCTGTACTGTCAACAAATTCTGTGAAAAGACATTTATCCTGCTATCGAGGAATGATAGACACACTGATGAGCTGCACTTTTACACTGGATGATATGCTCCTTCATTCAACGCAGGCTCTGAAATTTGTTTCATTCAATCCCACATACACCATCCTGCTGCAGTGAAATGCTCATCAGCGTACAAAACACATATTAATCAGGAGCTGAAAATAGTCTCATACCATAATTACTATTTGAATTTACTACTTTCCAGCTGCCTTTAGTTTTTAAATGAAACTAATTTTGACTGTTTTTAGAGACTTTACGGGTTCAGTAGGAATGAACGGATCTACTGTAGGTAGGGATGTTGGAACATACTGAGAGGTTTTGGTCTTCTTATGGGATTTGTTGACAATGATTAAAATATTGATTGACACCAGTCTTATCCTTGTTATGAAGAAAAGGAAAAACAATGTCTTTATAGCGACAAATTAGAAGAACAGAGTGCTGAGAGAAGGAAAAGATCATCAGTCAGACGACAAGAGCCAGACTATCCACCAAAACTTTGTATGGTGTATCTACACAAATTTGGTTTGTTTTGGTGACCCATCCTCATTTTCATACTTTAATGTCTGAATTTCTTCAGCCTGGTTCTCATATTCTCTGCTCCTCCAAGAATCACAGTAACATCCATGGCAGGCCCTCTACAGGACACTCTGAACCCCCACTCCTCCCTTTGGCCTATAGCACCACGCTAACAGCAGACTAATGCTAACGAGACAACAATTCTACATTAATATACCTTCACTGTTAACATAATTTGATATTATTATTCCCAATGGACTGGGCCATCTGGGCCAACATATGGTCTGACAGGAGAGAGGATAGAAGAAGAGAGTGGGTTTTTATATAAATATATTAAAATAAGTTACATTTTCCCTACTGTAGTTTATATTTTATATTAGTATTTATACTTAAAAATAAAATGGCCCACTCTTTCTTCTTCCACAAAACTATACAGCTGGAGTTGAACGTCTCAAACATCAACCAGCTCCATAACCCACATTCAGTGGCAGTTGTTAAATAGCTGATTTAAGACACCAGTTTCTAGATCCAGATCTTCTTTCTGTATGGAACAAACTGTACATTAGCATGGGTTTTCACCAGGAGATTCAGTTGCTCAACAAGAAAATTAAATATTTCAGTTTGTACAGCTACCTGTGTATTATAAATGAAAGTAAAACATATGACTTTACTTAATCTTTCACTATAGGCTGTATGACAATAGAGAAGTACAGTAACTAGTGATCTAGTGATTCAGATATGTGCATACAGACAGTATCTCTGCTATGAAGAGGAACAGTGTTGTACTGGTTGGAGGATGCAGCAATAAATCCTGCATTTACCTAGTTTAATTAAAATAACTTATTTAGAATATAAAACTGTCCTATATAAAAACAAAAGGGTAATATAGGGATCACATCCATTATTAACAAATAAATACTTAAAAAACTAGAAGGGTAAGAAAAGGATTATGTATGGTGTTATCAGAAGGAAAGTAATGAATCTACAGTTCTTACGGAGGCTAAAACCTGGGACTTGTTCAGGAAGACAAAGTTTCAGCAGCGTTCAGATACAAATGTGTTGCCCAGAGTGTTATGTTGATGTTAAGCAGCATCTGTACAGTCATTAAAAAGGTAATCCATCACTCATTAATAGATTTGCATTGCGATTAGCAACATAGACCAAGTTATTTCTAAGGTGTTTCAAATTGCAAAAAGGAACTGAATCGATCAGTCAAAGTGATTTACCAGATTTTTTTTCTGTGGGTGGGGTTTGTCTTTCTATCAACCTTAGATTTAAACAGACAAGTTCATTTTAGCTTTCCATGATATAAGCTGAATTTTATGTTTGTAAGCAATTTCTGAAGTCAGAGATGAAAGAAAGACTCAGTCACTGCGTTTGAATTCAGAATGTGGTTCCTTTAAAAAATATTTCAATAAATGTTCATCTTTTCTCAAAAGCAACTAATCAGATTTCTGTGAGTGAATCTGGACTGTGATGGATTATAATAAGAATTACTGTAATCACATTACTGAAATGATTTTACATGCAATCATTTCCATCTAAATCCTGTGGGCTGCACTGGGTTCAGTATTTTCAATTAAGAAAATGAATTTCATTTAAAAACTTTGTCCAATTACTGTAACATATGAGAGGTAAAACTGAATAGAACATTGTTACTTCATGTCTGAAATAAAATAAAGTTTGTTTGCATGTAATTTGCATAAACCCAAGCCCTTTCCCACGCTGATTGCATGTGTGTATCTGCAACACAGTTGAACATCTGTCTGTCGCTGAACGCATCCTTGCATTCAGGAGGCTAATGTTACTCACCCTTGCTTGGGCTTCGCACTAACGCCATGGCAATGCAGCAAATACAACACACAGAACCCCCCCAATCATCAACCAGCATAACAACACAGTAACCAACAGTAATAAACAATTAACACAACAACCCACCATAGATAAACAATCACCTGCTGACATAATGTTGAAGGTTTCAAAATAAAGGTGTGCATGGCTTTACTATTCCTTGTGTGTGTGTGTGTGTGCGTGTGCATGTTCCTTACCTCCCGATGCTGTTAGGCAGTGAGGTCAGCTGGTTGTCATCTACCTTCAGTGTTGTCAGCTTCTTCAACATTCCTACATCACATGCAAAAACACACATATTCACATTGACACACAACCACAAATATGCAAAGGTATTAGTTCCTAAAATAAGTTGTCAAGTCAAATTTATTCATAAGCACATTTAAACAACAGAAGTTGACCAAAGTGCTGCACACCAGTCAATAAAACATGACAAATACAAAGCAAGTAAACATAATAAATATAAGAAGCAAGTATCCAGCCGGGTTTAAAAGCCAGAGAATAAAAATGGGTTTTTGGGCCAGACTTAAACACTCTTCAGCTCTGACATGCCCTTTTTTTAAACTAACATAAGTGGACTTTAAGTATAAGGTAGGTGATATTCTAGATTGAATGAAACTGAAACCAACAATGACTGGATCCTACCTCTTTATGTTTGTGCTCCAAAAACTATTAGCAACTATTACTCAGCCACATGGTTGCACTGATGTGTTCTTTCATTACCATGAACACCATAGTTTATTTTGAGTCAATCCCACGTACACTACACCAACCTACTGACATAAATATTCCCCAGTGTATCAAATGCAAGTTAATCAGGACCTGGAAACTGTCCCAAACACATTTATTCCTGCTTCAGCATAATTTGGTGAAAGCTAAAATGCCAAGCAGTTTTAGTATATTACTTAGACCTTTTTGAAAAGGGAATTATTTACTGTATATGTGACCTGTTTTTAAAGATTTATATCTTCAGGAATCAGCACCCAGTGTGCAGTGCTACAGACAGGTGAGAGAAGTGTTGACTGATGCATACAGTAGGTGTTTTATGTCTTATCATCAGATTTTAAAAATATAGAATAACACCCACGTTAACCCTTATTATAGTCTTTAGTTATCTGTGCTTATTGACAGCTAGAACCATTCTCACCTGAGTTATACCCAGTACAACCACAGTCCTCTGCTGGTGTCTACTGCACAGCCCAGTCAGGAATCAAACACATGGGGATTTACATGCTTCTCTAAGGCTTCGTCAACTTAGGAAAAACCTGTGAGTGCTTTAGTGCTTGCATGTATGTGCGTACCTACCTATAGAGTCAGGGAGGTGCTGGAGCATGTTGGAGGACAGCAGCAAGTCTTCTAAGGCCTCACACCCTGAAATTTCTGTGTCCAATGTCTCAATACGGTTCTTAGCCAAGTCCAAGTACCGCAACTGACGAAGCTTCCCTATCGTCTGCAGAGAGGAGGGCAAGAAGAGAAAAGAGACATTCAGATATCTCCAGTGCTGTTTTTCTTTTATGACTGTAAGAGTTAGAAGTGTCTGTGTTCTCACCCCTGGTATAGACTGTATAGAGTTGTTATCCAGCCACAGCTCTTTTAAGTTGTGGATCTGTTCTAACACCTCAGGCTAAAACATACAAACAGAGGAAAACATATCAGTGCTTAAGTCACTACATACTAAACCAACAAATGTGAAATTATATAGCTGAAATCAGATGAATGACCCTGTCATTCATGGATCCACAGACCAAGGCTTTGGCAGAAATGAATGAATAAAAAAAATGTTGGCAGAGTGAGACTGGCATTCCTTTCCTAATTGCCTACTCTCTCTTGGCAGGAACAGAACATGCTGCCTACCTACTGCTATTGACAGTCAACTTCCTGTCCCTGACCCTGGCGTCATATCCTGTCAGCCTCCACCCAGCTCTCCCTTCCTCCACTATGTCACTCTGTCCCATTTCAGCATCCAGCTGACCCTGTGACACCACATGTCACACAGGTTCTTGAAATGTGAACTTTGAAGAAGGTGGCTCCTGAAATGTGACACAGCAAATATGTGCTTCCGACACTGCTCTCCTCCTCTGAAATCCCCCTTTCCTCTACATTTTGTTTTGACTATTAAATGCATTATCACAGGAAATCATTCTCACCAGTTCAGAGAATTCATTGCTACCCAAATCCAACCTCTCCAGCTGTGTCAGTCTGTGGATGGACCTGAGAGGAGAGAATACATTGTTAACACAATCCACTTTAAAAATTACACATGATATTGCTTTACAAATAATAAAACTAATAATTCATCTTTGCTGTGTGGCTTGAAGACTAAATGTAGATGCATTGTCAACAACGTGGGTGTAGCATCAGATATTGTGACCAGTGACATTTAGATGAATGAATATAGTGCACTTAACATGTAGGTGTAATTGTAGCAGCAGATGAAATGGGTTAAGATAATCCTATAAATTATAACTGGCATGCATGTGACATAATACTAGAGCTGATGAAAACATATCAAAGCTAAGGCCAAACACTATCTGCACCAGAAACTGCAGAAAAGGCTTCAAAGTGTTCATGTGGAATATTTTTCAGCAAATCTATTCTCCTGGCATGAGGGGACTGTTTGTGGTGAGCTCAGAAATTAACACGTGCTGTGGCACTGTTCACTGCATTGCCAGAAAAACAAAATATTAGCAAATGTGGGTTCTTGGGTGGCAACATTCACTAAAGCTGTGGTGCGTTTCCCCTGCGTTCTTTAAAAATTTTAATTAGTGATGCTCACAGTTAAACTTTAGTCTAAATTCCAACTACATGCTGTTTAGGAAGTGGTTCAAAAATCAGTGATTAAACCATATTTACAGATAGATTCCAAGCAGACTAGAGCACCCCCTCCTTGAACCGCCACCTTATTGTGGTGGAGGGGTTTGAGTACCCGAGTGATCCTAGGAGCTATGTTATCGGGGGCTATATGTCCCTGGTAGGGTCTACCAAGG